CAGGTGAGACCTGTCAATCCGTTTACCTGTTTAAAAAAATAATATAATAGTAAATTAATAATTATTTTTAAAAAATTAGTCAAAATTAAAATATTATATATAAATATATGATAAATGAATAAAAAAAATCTTACTTCAAAAAAATTAAATACAGATTATTGACTTACCCCCTTTGCAGTGTTCGATGTGAGATTACTGACTTACCCCCCTCTGTTTCTCTACCCGTTTGTTTCTTTCTTCTCTATTTCTGGCTTCTGCAGATTAGAGATTGAGCTTGATCTGAGTTTGGGAGATTCATCAAATTCATTTGAGTTCTTGATGGAGTAGTCCCTACAACACTTGGATAGAAAACAGAAGTTAGTAACATTGCTGTCGAATAGGGCCTCGTAGGTTTTAGAGGTTTTGTACTTTGAATTCTCTTAAGACAAAGAATTAGAATGATCAAAAGGAGAAGTAGAAACAATGCCGAACCAATAGACATAACGATTGTAGCTATTGTCAAGAGTTTTTTTGATTTATTATGAAATGGGTTTAGAGGTTTCTGAGCTGATGGTGAAGGGTGAGATGGGTTACATGAGAGCAATGGTTCGCCACAAAGATCAATGTTTCCGATGAATGATGAAGTTGTACTGTTGGCAGTGGCACAGTGAAAGTTTTGGCTTGAATTCCACATCGATAAATTCAAAAGAAAGAGACCTCTCATGCCTATAAAATGATGCAACCCCTTCCTTTAGTCATTAAACTTTCTCGTTTGTTTTTGCAAGTGTCAGCCAATTGAAAATTTTTTAATTAAGAGAGTATAATTGGTGTGGGTAATTAATGGAGTTTAAAATTTTAATTGGATAGTTTTTTTTTTTTGTGGGTTAAAATTTTAATAAAATTAAACGGGTTAAACGAGTCGTATCATGTTACCCGTTTATTAAACGGTTCGTGTTCGTGTTTAGGTTTTTTACCCGTTTATAAAACTTGTCGTGTATTTACATATTTTTCACCTGTCATCCGTTTAATCCAACACCTTTGACACCCCAGAAAGAACATTGTGATGTTGAACAGATGCAATGAGGAAAATCAAAACATAAGATGCTGAGGCCAGAGAATAATAATTGAATGAATTTGAAGACAGTAACGGCAAGAACAATCTGGAGAAATAACGGCTTATGCAATTAAGAAAAACTTAATGTCCGATACTGGAAAGAATACTAGTAAGAACAACTTTGAAACTGTTTCTACACTTTCATCATATCCCATAACTAATTTTCAGGGAGAGCCAGGTCTGATGGATATTTTCAACCAGCAAGATAATGCTGCAATGTGCATGCCAATTCGTAGCACAGAAAAAAATGAAATGGATATATGAGCTCACTGAAGTCACTGACGTCTTATTCATCTGAAGGAGGTCAAAAAAGCAAGTTTCAAGTCATTTGAAAATCAAAGTAAAAGGCCACAAGATCAAGCCACACAAATCAGATAACTAACAAAACACTTGGGGGCTGTTTGCTACGTGGTTTTTTTTTTTTTTTGTTGGGGAGGGGGGGGGGGGGTGGTTTGGAACATGGGTTGAGGACTAAACCCCCTTAAACGCATGTTTGGTAACTATGGGTTAAGCCTTGGGTTTGAAATCCGACCCGATCATGAAACCCTTATTCATGGGTTTCATGAAACCCATGGAGGGTGATCATATGTGAGATTGAGGGTTTCGCATTCAAATGACATTTATACCCCACATATTCATACCCATGTTAGGATTAAATTAGTTAAGGGACACAATAATCATTTAAATATAAATATATTATCATAATAGTCATATATCCCTGCGCATACCAAATATGGGTATGAACAGCATTAAATATTGAATCTCTTTTTTGAATCTCATCTTTGGTCAAACCCGAGTTTTAACAAGCCAATTCAAATTCCTCTCAAAAAACATACCAAACATGCCCTTAGACTTTTCGCCAATCCAATGGGGACCAGTAATATGCTACTCGGATCAACTGTAGCTGTTGCCACAAGATCATCGTAACATAATTGAGATAAAATCAAACTATTATGCCTAGTGGGTACCTCCTCCATAGGAAGTGTTCACTTATATGGCAGGGGGGAAGACGACTCTCTTCCGATGTGGGATTGCCTTAGGAAAGGGTCCTATTGGCGAAGAGAGGTAAAGGCTACTGGGGCTCGGTGCCGCCAGGTCAGCCGGAATCCTTCAAGTGGAGGGATGAAATCCGTAGCGATTTCTACCTCTCTTCGCCAATAGGACCCTTTCCTAAGGCAATCCCACATCATAAGTGAACACTTCTTATGGAGGAGGTACCCACTAGCATTGATGGGACTTTTCTGAGATACTCCATGATGAAGACACGTGTCCTCGGTATTACCAAAACACTGTTGATAAGATCAAGCACCATCGGCGCACAAAGGTCCTCGCCCCCAAGGTACTCGTCGTATAGGGTCATGCATTCAGTATGTTTTACAACCAACACGTGGCCTCGGTCTGATATGTACCTCGGTCGGCATACCTCCCTCGGTCCCCCGAGATGAGCCTTTCCTCGGTGCCGAGAGGTACCCCGTCCTGGACGCTTCCTCTACTCCAGGATAAGCTATTGACGTACAGGTCATTAGCCTAGGCTAGTCTAGGCTATTCATCATGACCTCGTCTAACACAATTAGTGTCAGAACGTACTGGAATGCAGGGGTCACAGCCATTAAGAGATGGACGCGTGGCAAATGATATCACATCGAAACAGAGAAAACGCATGTCGTTGCTGACACACGACTTGGGAAAGCAAACAATTAATTGCACCATTCCCTTGATGAGACCGTATTCAATGCGGTAAGACTCGAAAATGAAAGGCAATAAATGCTCCTATTACAGAGCATTTATTGCATCCTCCCCGAGAGGAGCACATTGTACCGTCGGCATCCTGATGACAAAGCATTGATTGCTCGGGACCCCGAGCATTTAAGAAGAGAAGACATTCCTCATCAGAATCAGTGCGCACACTGCCTGTACCTAATGATCACCTACTGACTACACTGACAGCAATCATGAGCTTTTGAGGTATAAATACTCCTTGCAAAAGGCAAGACGGGTATGCAACAACAAACTCTCTACTACAATACATTCTCAGTGTTTTCTCTTTCCTCTCTCTTTCTCAAAGACTGACTAGATCGTCGGAGGGGATACGCCAGAAAACACTCCGGCGCCCTTCTAATTTGTTCTTCTTTGTTCCAAGAACCTCTTTCAGTCTTACTGGATCGTTCTTCCGTTCCCAGGATCTCCCATTGCCGTTTCAGGTTACCACCGTACCTTGCAGGTTGTTCCAAGCAGCGTGTTTGGTCACTCAACGGATTCACTCAAAGTTCACCAAGGGAGAGATCTGTTCTCGTTTTTTATATTGTGCAGGATCTTGCACACACATCTAATATGAAATTACGATTGTTACTTTCTTGTTGAACGGTATGTGGAATTTGAAGCTGAGGTCTGAGCTAGTAAATGGATATAAGTACTGGTGGTGAGAGATGGAACATGAAACAAAGCCAGAGTGATTCCATCCAGCTGAAACATGAGTGATAACAAAGCTTTCCAAAGCTCTCCAAAAAGGTTCAATTGTTCAACTAAAATTTGAGTTTTTTCACCCTCATGTATTGAACAGGCGCAGGAAAAAAACTCAGAAAAAAACTCAAATAAAAACAATAAAACCAAAGAGTGTGAATCCCACAAACTCGAACAAGTGGATCTAGATTCAACCAATTGCTCGCTTCAATCATGTATCACATCAACATGTGGTGACTAATGAAACACAAACATGATTTGTGGCCTTGATTATGAATCAAACAAGTCCTAGTTTTTTCACCTTCATTGAGACAATTCATCAAATATATTGTGAACAATTAAAAGAAACTCATCTCAAAAAATTTTCAGTTAGGCTATTCACTTAAAGGAAGGGAAAACATATATTGGAGGAATGAAGACATACCTGAAGGAGGAAGGAAGACCGATTTCACAATGCTGGAGGAAGGAAGGCAGTGTATCTTTATGCAGAAATGGAAGGAAGGCATCAACTGGCGAGTGGATTGCCCTCTCAAGATCTGGTAAGGATGAAGACCTCAGCTATTTTGGCGAGTTGGATAGCTAGAGCGTTGGAGCACACGATTTAAAATTTTGCTGGCTAAAATGACTAAAAGGCTGCACTGACGAGAGCGTTGAAAATGCTCTAAGTGCGAGGGTGAAAGTCTATAATAAAATTTATCTTTTTAAGAAAAAAAAAATTATGTAGTAATTCAAGGAGCGAAGAATTTGTACTATAAGATCAACTTCAATAAAAAATTTATATTCTTACCTAAATTTGAGTTAAAAAAAAAAAGATAAAAAATTTGATTAAGTATGGGTCTTTCCAATGAATAAATCATTTTTTATATTCAAATCTTTTTTTAAAAAGTTTCTTTCTTATCCCAAAATTCCCATCTCCATTTTCTCTTCATTTTTGCGTCAGATTTATGTTCCATTTTTCTTCATTCTTTCTCGGTACCCCTTCAAAACACACTGTCCTCAATCACCAACCTCCCAAACTAGATCACTGCACCTCAAAGAAAAAGAGCAATCCCTCTATGTCTCTCTACACAATATCCAAATTTCACAAGTTCCAGATCTAGTTTGCCTGACCACCGACATGAAAGGAAGAGATCGGCAGCGACGTGAGAGTCCGGGGTAGAAGACGAAGTGACTGCCCGGGGTAGCTGATGGAATTTATGTCCGTCGGTAAAACGGGTATGGGATTTGGGGTTTAAAGTAGGATTTCTTTGATTTGGTACGAGTCTGGATCTACTATTAGAGAAAATTTTTGGACAATTTTTATCTAAATTTAAATTTTGATAAAAAAAAAAGAAAGGGATCAGAGCTAGAATTGTCCTAAACTTATGTTTGACTAGAGTCACTATTGACGAATTGAAAATTGTAAGTAAAAAGGAGGAATAAATTAACAAAACACATGATCAATACTTCGAATTCCATCTTTAAACAAAGTATTCTTAATACAACAAAAAACTGCATTGTTGGAAAAGAAGGTCAATTCCTATTCCAAAGTTAGTTTCGAGGGCAGAGAACAAGCCCCCGACGCTGGTCACAAGCCTCATGAGTAGGCCTCAAATTATCCTAACATATGAAGAAACTTATGATTTGGGCACACGCTCCCGAGAAAACTAAAAAGAAGCACAAATGATCATATTCAGAGTCATTTCAATGCGTCTCACTTGAATGAGGCATCTATCTAACTGTGATATTGATCATCATTATCTACAGCCAAATGTATAGAAAAATATGAAAGCACTTCTTTCCCTTCTACAAAGAGGGATTGTTGCCCATACGAAGAGTCCTCTTCTAGGATGACTGATTATAAATAACAAGTAGGTGGATCGCAGTGAACAGGATCCCATATTACAGCCCCTTAGACGGGGGATAGACAAAAGTATATCAAACGTATTGCCTTTCTCAAACCGTGTACGCTTGCTGGATCGTTTCTATGTCGAGATTCTTCAATTTCACAACTGATTCAACGTGGCCTTTCAATGTTTGCAGTTCTATCAGCCTGCAACAAACAAACAAACGAGAGAAACAAAACTTCAGAAAATGCATCGGCCTGCTATAACATGATCTCTGTTAGCACATCTTTAACTGTTTACAGAGCACATCGTATATTAAGAGCAATATACCAGACTTGTTATTCTAAGGCGTTTCAGAATTAGGCAGGATGATCATAACATAATATCAATGCTAAGAAGTATGAAACAAGACTAATCCAGCACCTTGTATCTCTTACATAATTATAATTTTAACCTTCCTAACAGTTAAATAGTCGAAAAAGTGATCAACGGTAATTTCTCAGATTGGACCTGTAGCATATTGACCCTTGCTACCATCACGTGGTCATTTAAGATTCATGTCGTTTTGACTTAGTTTAGTATGTGAAGGACATGCAGCAGTATCTTGTTTCAAGTTATTTAAAGAAGGATACAGTTCATTTTCATGAGAAATTTAGGATTATAGTACATTGTAGTCAAGTAATCTGCATCAAATAAGGGTCAGCCTAGCTGGTGAATTTGTTTATTTTATCTTTAAGATGAACTTCAATTATCAGAAAATTAAATAAATCCTGAACTTGAATTGTTCGACCCAGAAACAGCAGTTAAAGGCTTCTTCTAAACAGTGCAACTAATCTCGTTTTTCTTTTTATTGCCAAATTCATATTGTCGGAGAAAAAAAGAAGATGGCTGCTGAAAATATCAAAATGGGAAAACTTGCAAATCCTAACCCATGCATAAAATAGTTGCTTTCATATGTGTGCATGTCTTTTTTGTACCTTGCCATCTCAGCTCGTCTTTTTGCCTCTTCAGCCATCTGGTTAAGATCGGTAATGCTACTGCGGTCACTAAAGTCAGTCACAGGTGGCTGCAGCCCATGGAGGGTTCTTTGTGCATGTGCCCATTTAAGCTCACGTTCTTCTTTTCCGAAATCCTTTTTCCTCGTAAAGGCAACCTGCAAAAAGGAGAATTCCTCCAACATTCAGCAAGGGATCTATCCACTAAGTTACTCCATTGAGAGCAGGAATTCCATACCCTTTGCTCGAAAACGAGATCCCAAGCTCTACCACTAATGGCATATCGAATACAGAACTTTATGAAATCAAGAGGGAAGTACGTAATGAGGTTATAGAGCCAAATCACCCCAGCCCAACCCCATCCAATCCCTTCAATCGCAGCAAAACCCCAATTCGCATATACAGCAATCAATGTAGCAATCTGTTCACATAGAAAAGAGTAAACATTGGAGTTATTTGTTCAAGTTACCAAATGACACCTGCACAGTAAAAACTTAAACAACAGCACTTCACTCACCAGCTGAGCAACCAAAAAAGCCCCCACAAGCAGAAGTCCTGGGCGCTCGTAGAATGACCAACTCCTAGCTCTTGTCACAAAAATGAGGGCTTGACTAATGGTACTCACTTGCAGGTACACTGCAGAGGCAAGCTTTTTGAAGTCGTAACTAACCGTTTTCTTTAGAGATGAAACCCCAAATAGGTGCTGGAAATTACAAGAAAGGTTTAAGACCAAAATGTTTGTTAAAATTGATAGATTGTCAATTAAAAGAAGAAAGGTCCATCCCCAGTCTAAAATGGGTGCACTCAAAAAGGAAAAGCAAAGGTGATAATTTAGAAAGATATGCAGGTTTAGGGTTAAATTTTTTGGTTTTATCAACTAAAGAAAGCAACATCATGTAAGAAGAATCCAGGTCAGAAGCATATAAATAAAGCAATAAATCCCTAACAGATCCCATCGACAGAAACCATAATCATATTTTACCATGAACTGGTGAATGCAAAATAAAACTGTTGACACTAAAAAAATCCCTGGAGTCAAAATATAGGTAATTCAGCCAGAACTGTTCGCAGATCAGCTGTTTTAAGAATACAATGACACAAATTGATGGACTCAGATAAGACCAATGCCAGATGATACCTTAAAGCAATCACTCCCTTCCCAAATGACGTATACAAAAAGATGTGAGATGTAAATCAGTTGGACAATTTATTTTACAGCACAGTGGCAGAATGGCTTCAAATTATGTGATTACAAAACGGTTCAAGAAAGTATACAAATTCAACTGCAAACAAAAATCATATAAAGACAATGATTAAAAAAACACTTTAATAAGAAAAACCTTAAACATCAAGAAGGAAGGGAGAGCATAATGTTCTATAAGCCTCTACAAACAGAACCATTATGATGGAAGGCAGATAGCACTATAAAGACAGAAATAATAAGTACTTGGCTGTAAAAAATTAGAAGCCAACAAAACAGGAGTAATATGTCAAATACATATAAAAACTAGGCGATCAGGCAGGGCATGCCATGCTTGATCAATTACTCTATTATTTATTCACGTGAAAAATTTTACTTACAGGAAAGAAATTCGTCTCGTATGCCACCCAAAAGAAGATGACTGTCATCACTGCCAAGTAACCTCCAAGAATGATCCCAGTTGCAAAAATCTCTCCCAGCTTCCAGCTGTCGGGCAGAGGAGATGGTTTCACCCTATCCTTTGATATTGTCATAATGGTACCTGGCATGCCATATAACCAGTAAGCATCAAACCACCCATGCCTCTCCCCCAACCACCGCCACCACCAAAAGAAAGCCTATTATGTGTCATTCATGAGAAAACTAACTGGAAAAGAGAAGGCGCATTGAGTTTCCTATAATAAAAATACACACCATCATTCAGGATAGCAATGATCAGCACCATGAAGGGTGGGAAGTCGAACTTCCATATAAGAGCGAGCAACATGAAACCAAGCTGGCAAAACAGAAATCAGGAAACAATATAACTATAAGCTATGACTAGAGGATCCCATCAAGTAATTATTGCAACTCAGGAGATATTATCATTATTACAGAATACCAAGGCCAACATCAATTTACTTACCACAATACGAATTGTAATGGAAACAGCATAGATCTGCAAAAGAAATCCAAAATATTAAATAAATAAGTAACTTTCTCAATGAACAATCAAAATAGCAGTGATAGAGGTTATGATGCCATTTAGTGACTGATGGCATGAGGCTTTTTTTTTTCAGATGTCGAGGTTGGGGGGAGAGAGAGGGGGAGGGGGGGAATCTTGGTATCACATAAGCAAAAAGAAGTAAACGGTGGGTCCTAATAAAATTGTAATGGCAGCAGCAATAGTAGGAGTTGTAAAGGGCATCAATAAACAAAGGTTGAATAAGTTGAAAATTACAAAGGCAACGCACACAGAAGATACGTGCAGTCAGTCCTGCCCAGATTAAATTCATACAGAAAAGCCTAAAAACTTCGTAAGAATACTTCCTTCTGAGTTCTACTGTCAAACTATACTCTCTCATGAGCAGAACCTAGACTTACCGTGTAATTTTTCATCCTCTGAAAGATTGCACGACTAGTTAGTACAGCACTAATGATCACGCTGAGACCAGGTTCTGTCAGGACTATATCAGAAGCACTACGAGCAGCATCAGTTGCATCAGCAACAGCTATGCCAATATCAGCCTTTTTAAGTGCAGGGGCATCATTGACTCCATCACCAGTCATTCCGCATATATGTTTTCTAGCTTGCAAGCGTTTTACGATCTCATATTTGTGCTCTGTGCCAACAAATGAGATGTGGTTAGTCAATCAAGTAATAGCCTATGAAAACTGTTCTTGGAATATTAAACACTGAACTTTTTAATTTTCTGTACTGCACACATTAATTCAAATATCACGCAGACAGAGTGACAGAAGAGTAGTTATGAGACCCAGTCATGTAGTTGGCTCCTGAGTAGGGGGAATCATAGGATCAAACCTTTTAGCGTAGGGTCTAGGAGAAACATAATTAATCAAATGCTTTTTTCACCAAAGAAAGAAATTGAGTTGCAAAAACTACCAAGTAAGCGGGAAAAAAAAATTACCAGGGAAGACGCCAGCAAAGCCATCAGCTTTTTCAATGAGCTCATCAATTGGCAAAGCAGCAATTGATTCATCCTTGTTCTGCCCTAATAAAGCAGATGAAGGATACATGTTGGTTCCCATTCCCAAACGCCGTCCAGTTTCCTTTCCAATTGCCAGTTGATCACCTAATGGAGTGTTAAAGGAGTCAGGCAAATGAAATATCGAACAAACTACATAGAATAAATTTCTTAATTCAATAATACCTCAGAGATAGGAAAATTTAAGGTGCCTCAGAGAGATGAAAATTTGCATAAAGCAGGAAAGTACAATATTCCTAAATTTTTTTAAAGTCTTCTTTTTCTTTATCTTAAGAGAACACATGCATCACTTCACATAACTCAACCTAAATTCTTCACTCTTCAGTATTCATCTCCAGTACTGCCTAGATTAAGTCCTCAAGCATCAGATAATAGTGGTACAGTAAAAACACCACTGCCAAAAGGATCAGAAGGAATAAATAACAAATCATTGTTATTTGTTAAACAGGTTTTATCAAGAAAATGAAAGAAGATGCCATGGACCTCAACCCCCCCCCCCCCTCCCTCCTTTCTCTTTTTCACCCACCGCTAAAAAAAACCATAACAAAAAGCTAGAAACTTAAGATTGAATAAGGTATAAACAATTTATCCAAAATATTATAATATTTTAGATATCCTTGTAATAATACTTCTCTAGTATGAACTTAAACATTCCAGTTCAACTTCTGTAATAAAATCAGTAACATTGATGAGGAGTATTCAACTACATTATATAGAGATATAAACATATAAAAGACATACGCACCAGTGATCATTTTAACGTTCACCCCCAAATTCAAAGCTCTTCTTATTGTCTCTGCACTGTCATGTCTGGGTGGGTCAAACAGAGGCATGAGGCCAATGAATTGCCATGGACCTCCAGGACTTTCCTTCGTACGCTCAGGAACTTCCTGTTTAATACATTAAGCTCATCAACTTCTATCTGGAATAGACACCTATATTAAGTAAACTAGTTAAGAGAAAAATATTTTACCTGGTATGCTACTGCAAGAGATCTTAATCCTCGCTCGGCAAATTTATCAATCACAGCATGAACTCTATGCTCTATGTCTGATTTATTGTGTGCCAGGTTAAGAATCTAAAGACAATATAACATGCATGAATTAGACAATAACAATCTGTGAGTCCAGAGACATCACGTTAGAAGACAGAAATCTATCCATATACCTGTTCAGGGGCACCTTTGCTGACGCGATGCATTTTACCTTCACTGTCAATGTACGTCAGAGCTGTTCTCTTATCAGTTGGGTTAAATGGGAGGAAGTGAACCTCTTGGATGCCAGCCCGTGCCTTTTATTCATACAAATCATCAAGAAAGAGAAAAATACTAAATTAGAGACCCAGTACCAAAAGTCAGTATCCATGGTTTATAATCCTGTGTACTAGGGATAATAAGAGAAACCCTGCTTTGGTGGGCCATCCTATCTGCAGGAAATTGCATATGACCAGTCCACCTACCTCCTTCGGATCAGCCAACATCCCTACTATAGCGCCATCGATTGCATCCTGGTTTTCCACCCGAGAGGCCCTGGCAGACATCAGAACTACAGTATCTACGTCAACTCCTTTAGCAAAGACCTATAAAAATAAATCCAGTAAAGGAGATGTAAGAGGCAACAACCTGCAAAATCATAGAAATTTAGTATAAAGCAAAAAATTCCAAATCAACCTCAATAAGATTTTTGTCGACAGTAAGCTTGTTCAGGGTCAGAGTTCCAGTTTTATCACTGCAAAGCACATCCATCCCGGCCATTTCTTCTATAGCTGTCATTCTTTTTGTGATGGCTCCCTGCAACAATTAAACATAAAGACAGTCTTACATACCAGCAGACGTCAAATTACAATCCTCAGAAGTACATTAGAATCCCAATATGACCAACCTGCTGAGATAAACGGTGAGAACCAATTGCCATTGTAACAGATAAGACTGTCGGCATAGCAATAGGGATTCCTCCAATCAGAAGTACCAGCAAATTGTCAATTCCCGGACGATAGTCCCGATGTTGAATCGGGTACATCACTATTATTTCTACAAACATCCCAACCGCAATAGAACATATACAAAAATTTCCGATGGCAGTCAAGACCTATGACATCATAAGAAGTATTTGGTGAATACCAATATTCAGGTCTATACAATCCAATCTATATTAAGCACAAAGAAAAAAGGATGGATGCTGCATGGGTATATTAAACAAACTCCTAGTTGAGACCAAAACCCCATAGGCTAATCAATCATGAAATAGAGAAGTATAAATTTACAATGGAGCAACAAATTGGGATCCTTTCTCTTATCAATTCCTCTTTTCCCTATTTTTCGGGTGCCGTGATTATGAACAGCTAACTTTACATCAACATGCTCATACCTTCTGAAAATGGCCAACTTGATTTGTGGAGTCCACGAGGTGAGCAGCCTTGCCAAAGAAGGTATGCACACCTGTGGCAATGACCACTGCTTCAATCTCTCCCTGCTTGCAGGTAGACCCTGAATAAACACCATCCCCTGGGCCTTTTGTCACAGGCAGGGACTCACCCGTGAGAGCAGACTGCAAGGCCAAAAAACGATTGTTAGATGACTATGAGAAAAAAAAAATCCACTTGTATTCAATCAACAGACAGTGAAAGTCACAAAGGCACCTGATCAATTTTCAGCGGATCACCCTCAAGGAGACGAGCATCAGCTGGAACTATATCCCCAAGTTTAATGCTAATGATGTCTCCTGGAACAAGAACAGCTGCATCTTCCTCATTCCATCTCCCATCTCGGAGAACCTAGAAATTTTTCATTATTTAATCAATTTAGGAGGATAGAAATATCTCATATCTACCAAAAAGTGCCAAAATGGAACTGTTGAAATCTGATCTGTAACAAATAAGTCATAGCATATGCAAGTATGAAACAAGCTTCCATCCACATTCTAATACCTTCGCTTTGGGCGCAAGACGTGCCATGAGAGCAGCTGCTGCATTACCAGCATTGTTTTCTTCTATAAAACTTATAGTTGAATTGATAACAAGCAGAGTAATAATCCCAACAAAATCCTGCCAATCAGGTGCTTTTCCCTGCAGAAAAGTACACCACCATGTCACTTCCATGAGCAAAATCCCCCACAAAAGAGTGAAAAAAATTATAATAGAAAATTGTGTATGGCATAAAAATATGTCCAATCTCCTCTCGGCACAATACTTACTCCACCATTTGCAAGCGCAATAGCCATAATTGCCGCAGCCTCCATGACCCATGAGAGGGGATTCCACATGAACCCTAAGAACTTCAAAAACTTACTCTCCTGCAAAGTCCCAAAGATACGGAAATTGCCTTTAAACATCTCAAAATTCAAAAAGAATCAACAACAGCGGCAATAATTCCAAGACGAAAGTAAAGATTAGTGATACAAAATGCCATACCACTTTCTCTTCAAGCTTGTTGTGCCCAAATATGTCCAATCTCCTCTCAACATCTTCAGATGTGAGTCCATTTTTGGTACATCTCAGATTCTCGAAAACCTCCTCAACGGGTATGTTCTCCTACAAATCAAATTCATATCCTAATCCATCACAATCCAGGAACCAAAATCACCGAAAACAAACAAATATACGCACCCACACTCAAGACACACACACACACACAACATAACCACCAACACGACAACCACTATCACCACCACCAACAACAACAACCACAAAATCACATATCAACATCAAAGAACTACCGCAGCAGAACCTCAAAGCCCTCACTCATAATCATAGATGATTATGTTTATCAAGAGAGACATAGAGAGACGTGATTGTGTGAAGTTCCGGAGTACGTACCAAATCCACAGCTTCCCTTTTCAGAGCCTCCATAGCTTCATCTTTTTCCGCCATCTCTCTCTTCCTTTTTTCGCCTCTCTGCATAACAAAAAACGTATTACATCTACATACAGGGCAAATATGCATATATATACATGTAAATATATCTAACATGTATAAGCATCAGAACACCATGTATACCAAGCGTATATATGGAACCACAGCTTTGACGAAAACAGATAAATCGAACGACTCACCGAGAATTTGAGTGAAATTAGTTAAATCTCTTAGTTTTCAGACAAACGAACACGATCATGGAGAGCGAGCGAGAGAGAGAGAGAAGTAGAGGACTCTCTGTATTCAGTTTGTGCTCCTCTCTCTCTCTAGAAAGTGTGCTGTTTCTCTCTCTTAAAATCAGGCACGATTGTCTCTGAAGCAAAGCGGATAAGCAGCTCTAAGAAGATCATGTACTTGGCGGGTACAGTCCTCCTCTGCTTTTATTTATTTCCAAAAATTCCTCTCCTATTTATTTATTTATCTTTTTAATATGATTGTTTTTATTGCTTTTATTTAGTCACCGTACAAACTAAAAATGCAGCACAGGTTGGTGCTTGGTGGAGGTGCATAATTCTCTCAATTGTGTCGGGTAAGCCCGACTTCATGTTTGATGTTAGGTTTCGTTTGGCATGGTAAAAAAAATAAAAAAATAAAAAAATAAAAAATAATAAAAATATTATATTTAGTAAGTAAAGAAAATAGGAAAGATAAAAAAATAGATTAATGAATTTTTTTTTAAACTCATCAAAATCAATCCCTTTAAAAATGAAAAGAAAGTGGATAAAAAATTATTTTTTTATGTTGAAATATATCTTATTTAAATATATTAGTTATATATTCTGTGTTTATTAATTTCATATATAAATACAATGGTAAAATATTATTTATATTTTTTAAATAAATAAAAAAATTATTTTTTTCATCTTATTAAGCACAAAAAAAAATCATTTTTATTATTCATCCATCTAACCAAACATAAAGATAGAAAAATATATCATTTATATTTTTCTTTAGAATAGAAAGTGTATCTTTTCTATTCTTCATTCTTCCTACTTTTCATCCATCTTAATTTGTGTTAAAAAATATATTTAATTTAGTCATAAATTTATGTCTAATAAATTATGTTATATTGAGTTCGTATCGTATACAAATCATATGTAATTAGTATATAATCAAGTCACGTTAATTGTTATGTGATTTTATATCAACTTCGCTCATACTTAATTATTTTATCAATCGTGTTGTATTAGATCAATCCGTTTATGAAACGGATGAGTTATGAACAATTTTAAATTTTAAATTTTTTTATATTGCGTTAACAAATCGTATTTAACACTTCTAATGGTGCATGGGATGAAATACGATGCCTACTCTTTGGTTGGACAATTTTACCCCTAAACTCAATTGCTCACTTGCTCGCCGCTTTTGGACATTATCGGACGAATTTCAATCCCATTTGATACTTTTTCTTCATATTTTTTTAATGTTAAATCATCTATCATATATTAATGAAATTTATTTTTTCCCAAATAAAATTTTAAAATATATATATTCGAAGAATTCTCGTTATATCTCGGCCCAAATTTCAAGGAGAAGTAAATTTTCACACTTTTAATTCAATGTTTCGCATGAATTTAAGACAACTGCTTTAAACACACTCTTCCATAATTGGTTATTGTTTTTTCTCTTTTATCAATTTGAAAGATTCATTTGCCTTGTTTTGGTATTCTATTTTTCGTTCACAATGGACCAAGAAAATATGGCAAATATTTTTAATTTAAGTCTTCCAATTTGAGAAATAAGACAACACATCCCATCAATATTTTGCACAAATGAGAAAGTTTAATTTTTACGTGGTACGGCAAAAGTGGTACTATGCCCCCTTTTGTCTTTCCCATGACTTTTGTATTTTTTTTCAGCAATCAATCAATGATATTCAAGCATATTTTGATTCATCTTCTATTCACTTTTCACTTAGATCAAAGACATATCTATCTACGTCAAGATTAAATTATTCATAATTTATAAGAAATAAATTATTCATGGCCTAATTTCAAATGAATTATCAATATTCAAACTTATAACGTTTAAATTTATAACTCGTTTTTATTGTTATTTAAATTATCTTTTAAAATTTAACCTTTGTATCTTTTAAGAGATGAAAGATACACTTTTGCTTGATACTGCATCGATATTAATTATTTTTGTGGGTATTTTTATTTTTATTGTAAATATTTTTATTATTATTATAATATAAAAAAAAGTGATAAAAATTTACAAAAAATAATAAAAATATTCATAAAAATAATATTTTTTTGTTATAAAAATATTTATAAAAATAATAAATTTTAAAGTTACGACACCCCGACTAAAAACGTAGTCAAGTCGTGCAAAATTATTCACATGTGTCATATGGCCAAAACAAAATATCGGCATTGAACAAACCAACAACCAGCCGCCCCATTTGATGTACTTTTGACTTTCCAGTATGATTAGTTCTTGGTAACGTCGAAATTTTGTTGGGTCAAATTTTATTTGATTAATACTCATGCTACATTTGGTACGATGAAAAACTAGAAGAATAAAAATTTGAAATGATAAAAAATTAGATAAATAAATAAAACATCATATTTGATAAGGAAGGAAAGTAAGAAAGATAGAAAAGTGGATGAATTAACTTTCTTTTCAACTCACCAAAATCAATCCCTTCAAAATTGAAAGGAAAATAGATAGAAAGTTAATTATTTGTGCTGAGATGTATCTTGTTTGTCTATATATCTTATGTATACATTAATTTCATATAAAAATATAATGGTAAAATATGTATATATATTTTTAAAAATTTTAAATTAAAAAAAAATATTTTTTCCATCTTAACTAAGGTTGAAAATTTAAAAATTTTCGACTAAACACGATGACACGACTTAAACTAGATACGAAAATAAAATGGTCAACTCGTAACTCGACACAACACAATTAGTTAAATGAGTTAAGTTAGGTTTGACTAATATTCGACACAAACTCGTAATGACTTAATACGACACGACTCGATTGTCACCCCTAATCTTAGTCAGCACAAAAAAAAAAATTGTCATTTTTTTTATATATCTAACCAAACACAAATGAAAGAAAGTGTATCCTTTCTATTTTCCATCTTTGAAGAATAGAAAGTGTATTCCTTCTACTTTCCATCCTCCCTACCAAACGGAGCATCAATCTATTTATAATTATATATGTTTGAATTGAGATAGTACTTAACCTTATTTAATAGATTTGTGTTATGCTTAACTCGTGTTTAGTGTATATGTGTATTGTTTAATTTGGTTCATGTCAATCAATTTCTAACAAGTTTATCTGTTTGTTACTCACATTCGTTAATACTATTCTAACTCACTAATTTTATATCTAATTTTTATTTTTTTTTGTACCTAAGAAAATCAGCTCTAAACGGGTCTAATATCTTAACCATAATTCCAATAGTTAAACAAGCCATTCTTTTTTCAAAAAAAAAAGAAGAAAAACGAGTTTTAGCAGAGGCATTGTGACTTCATTACGCCTTAATCATAGGGTTAGGTTTTGATATACTTTTTATGGGTAGAAAAGGTATTTTAAGTTTTTAACCTGTAGTGACTCACATACTAGTCAGAGGTCAAATTCGGCGGGAGTCAGTCGGGATTGTCGTTTTCTTTCCTAATACTACTACTAGTCTTTTTTTTTGACATTTAATTTGATTTTTCTGTGGAGAAAAATTAGGCACTGACGTAGGGATTTTGCCCTATATAATAAGAATTTGATGTTGCCAAGGAACAGCAACGTTTACGTAGTACGTAAACCCCCAACAACCAAAACTGCCTCTTCGAGTTCTACACGTCCTAAATATAAACAGGAAATATTCAATGTCGGTCGTGTCATCGTTTTTATATATTATTGTATTAATAATACGCAACGTGCGTTGCATATAAAAAAAATTTAAATAATATTTTTTATAAAAAATTTGAATTATATTAGTAATTAAATTAAAGAATAAAGTAAGTGCTGAATAATTAATTCGTATTTTAATTATTATTAAATTTAATTATTCATTTATTATATTTTTTGAATAACTAATATGTCATTTATTTACGTATTTCTTCGATCATTTTAGTCATTTGTATATCTAATTATGTTATAGAGTTTTTTTGTTAAACAAATTGATTAAATCGCTTATATTATTATTATATTACTTCATACTAAAAAATAAAATATAATATGTGTTTGGTGGTGGAATTCAAATTGATAATTTTTATTTTAATTTAACATTTATAGGACTTTACTTTTTCATATAGATATAGAAAATTGTATCTAAGTGTACTATTAATAAATGAGTTTAAAAAAATTTAAAAGTTCTTATAAAAGAGTCTAAAATAAGTTGAAAGTCAAATAGGAGTAAAGAAATAAAAATTAAATGAAAATATATAGGTGAATATAAATGACTTTAGTATAATAATTAAGGATAAAATTGAAAATTGAAAATTTTTAACAGATACTGACATTTATAAGTATCATAGATATAAATTTTAAAAGTGATTTAAAACAATTTGAGATTTAAAGCAAAAATATAAAATGAGTTATTTTTAATCTTTATTATTAATTTTTTGTGTAAGAGAAAGACAAAAAAAAAATGTATTTAGGGTTTCCAAGAAATAAATTTTAACTTTTATTTTTGTTTTTCACTAGACAAAGGGAGTTTAATTTCAATATCAATTACTCTATTTTTTAACCACTAATGTTATTGGGACATAATTTAGAGATTTAATGTATTATGATAATTTGATTGATGGTGTTAGGATCTAGTGATACTTTAATTTTGAGATCCACTGACAATTTAATAATCACAATCATTAAATTCTCAAATTATGTTCCAATAATATTACTCTTTTTTAACATGATTAGGGTATTTTCAACGTGTGTAGTTTAATTTGTTTGAAATTTATCAATTATCTTTGACCGGGTCCTGGATAGGCAATGTTTAACCGCATCAAAAATAAAATTAATTAAAATATGCGTAAATTATTGTTTCGGTTTTTTAAATACGAATGACATTAATAAAAAAAAAAATAGCAATACGTTGGCGACACGATTTTTTACCAGCTTTCCTCGTCGTAAGTACTGGTCCAATCGTCTTCGACAAGATCTCTCCGAAATTCGTGGTATGGTGGGCACCCGTTTGTCCCAGAAAAATTTAAAAATAATAGTTAAAAAAGATAAATTTCATTGACAGCCCTTAATATATTTCAAAATAACATATTCACCCCTTATACTTTTATGAGTGACATCTATAATATAAAACAGAACAAGTTTCAATAAGTCTATTCAAAGGTCTCAAATAGATACATCGAACGACCACCAACATCCCTAATGCATGCAAGACTAAGACTG